TTAAATGGGCATGAATTAGGTTTGGATTGCTTATCAGTGTTGGCAGTTGCTGCTGGTTGGTTTTGGATTGTTAGGGTTAATGCAATTTACTCTCAGATGTAAAAATGATGAATTGCAGCATCATGGAGTCTTTCATGCTATTAAATTGTAGTGGATGAGGTTGAACTAAGATTAGTAATTGTGCCTTGGTGGTTAAAGCTTGGAGTTTTGTTCTTAACAACTCAAATGTATTTTGTATCTAGTTTTAGATTATATATTGCTGGCCAACAAATTTCATTGCTACCATTTTGGACTTGCATAATTTATAGTTAAGAAAACTATGATCATCTTAATTATTTGAGTCCTGCATTTTCAATTTTAGTAGCTGAGTTGGAATGGTTACTTTTCTTGATTACATACATTGAATTCTTGATCCTTGCTTAATTTGGGGAAGGAGTATCTCCTGTGTACTGTTCTTTTGTTTTCTACTTTGTGAAGCTTTATTCAATCAGGTAAGTAGTTGATTTTGTGATAGAAATGGGATTTAAAATCTGAAAATTTTGTTTATGTGGTTTAAGTTATGTTGAAGTGATAATATTGACTAAAAAAGCACTCGTTGCCAAATTGAGTTCACTTAAACAATTTAACATGTAGAAAATTTTTCTATTTAAGAATGCAATCAAATATCTGATTTTTTTGCTAGTTTAAAATATATATTCTCCATGCCAGAATGTCTTTCAGGCATATTGAGTTTGAAAGTTTCTTATACATTGCTACTTCATATTAATGCTTGATGATGAGCTAAATTTATATACATATTAATAGGGAATTTTTACTTTGATATTATTGATATTTGGATGAGTTTTATGGGATTTTGTTTGATTTTACATGGTTTTCATTTTTTGTGCAGGGAAGGAATTAATTGGAAGAAATCTTACTTTTTAGAAGTAAATTGAAGAGATCAAAGACTTGAGGATCAATTTGTGCAGAATCCAGAAGTCAGGAACCAAATCTGTTATTTTACTATTGAAGAAATTGCAAAAGGAGACCAGAAACCGACACGGGTGTAGTGTCGACACGTAACCGAGCTGTCGACACCATGTGTTAAACGTCCAGAATCAGATTCTGTTTCCTATTTTGTGTCAACACGTAATCCGAAGTGTCAGCACCACGCGATCAGCATCCAAAATTTAGTTTCCTATTTCTGTTCCAAGTCCTAGTTCTATTTCAATTAGGGTTTCTAAAATCCTATAAATACCCATCCAAATTCAGAATGAAGAGAGTTTTGAGAGGCTGGTGGCAGCCCTCTTTTGGGCATTCTTGAAGATCAAGAGAAATGATTCAACAATAGAAGATCAAGGCGCTCGATTTCCTCAAATTGGGTATTGGGTTTTGTTTTTCTTTGGGTTTTTATCTATTGTTTGATATTTGAATGTTCATAACTTTGATTTTATATTTTATTATTTTTATTATAAACTAATTTATTTTATTAAGGCTATGATGTAGCCTATCAATTCAATATAGATTTTGTGATTTTATACTTTCAATTAAAGTTATTCGCATGAGGAGTTTATATTATTGAACTTAATGCATTGGAAGTCTGATTACCTTTCAAGAACTTGAGAAAGAATTGCGTAGATTAGACCAATAATAATATAAACCGTGTATTAGACTATGAGACTGAGAGGTAATTAGCTCACATGTGATAGTGGAGGAAGATAAGAGAGTTAGGAGCTCCCCCTTCTTAAATTAGAGGTTTTCATAGAATTTAATGCTCATAAGTTTGTTTAAAATTACATAGAGATATGATTAATTTAACAAACAAGTGAAGGATTAACTTGACTTGAGAAAACTAGTTAATTAATTTAGGGAAATCCGCTATCACATGCAATAACACTCAACAATTTAGTAATCCATAATTTATATTGATTGATTATGGTGAAGTCAATGCCTTAGTATCTCATATCTTGGTTAGGTTTGATTTAATGGTTATTTTCCTTTTATTATTTTTTTAGTTAAACTTTCTTCCCATTTGGTTGTTCAAATAAATTTGGATTAATTATTTTGGTACTTAGTTAGACACAATCCTCGTGGGTTCGACACTCTTCTCATCATTATATTACTTGGAGCGACTAGTACACTTGCTAGGGTGATTTTAGTGCATCACTTGACTGTAATTTGTTTACATATATTGCTATGCTGTACTGCATCTGTAGTTATTCTATTTGGCTTGACTTCTAGGAGTACAGTGTGCTTGATTACAAAGAGAAAGTGGTTGATGGTTTCTATGACGAGTATGGGCCTTCCACAAATTCAGCACTCCAAGGAAAAATGCCATCTCTTGCAGATCTTGAGACAAATCTTGGGAATTATGGCTTTGAAGTTGTGATTGTCAATCGAACAATTGAACCTGTCTTAGAAGAGTTGGTGCAAATTGCACATTGTATTGCATTAGATTGCCCTGCTAGTAACGTTAGTGTTTTAGTCCAAAAGCTTGCTGAATTTGTTACAGGCCATATGGGTGGACCCGTTAAGGATGCTAATATAATGTTGGCAAGGTGGATGGATAGGAGCATGGAATTGAGAACATCTCTTCATACAAGTTTATTGCCTATTGGGTCCATTAATATAGGATTGTCTCAGCATCATGCTTTACTTTTCAAGGTTAGTTATTTTGTTTTTTGTTGACTTTCAAGGTTAGTTATTAAACTTAAACTTGTGGCTCTAGTCTCCACTGGCCAACTTTCTGTTACTGTAATATATTTACCATTTCTACACCTCTTATTAAATGTGAGTTCATGTAACATGAAAAGGGAAAGATATGGCTCTGTCTACTTTTTAGAGTCATGTTTGTATCTTGAGGAAGATCCTTCTTCTTCCTTTTTTTTGGTAAGATTTAAGTATCATGAGAATCTGTGATCACATTGGTTGATGGAACTTCAGAGCAGAGTTTAATATTATCAAGAAGAACTATTTATTTTTGGAATGAGAAATATTAGAAATGAAAGGAAGGAATTTTTTGAGATATATTATTATTAGAAGTTATGCCCTTTGTCACTGTCTCTACAGCCGTCATTCTAAAACCTCATGATTTGAACTTTCTGTTGATTATTTTGATTACTGAGGTGTAATCCATTGTATAGCAACAATCTGACAGACTTGGTTTCCATTTCATCAGAAATTGGTTGTTAAAATCAAGTTTGCTTCTTTAATGCTGTTATTCTTCACATTTAAAAGATGCTACTAAAGGCTTTCTGAAAAATAAAATTTCATGCCTCGTTCTTTGAGCTAATAAATATTAGATCAAACTGTAGGCTAAGCTTTCTATTTATCCAACAGCTGTAGATTTGTTTTCTTGGCACCCTTGTATGTAGGTATTGGCTGATAATATAAAGTTACCTTGTAGACTCGTAGAAGGCAGTCATTACACTGGGGTTGAGGATGATGCTGTAAACATGTTAAAGCTGGAGGATGAAAGGTAGTAGTTTGTACTTATTTTTGAATCAATCTCTGACCTCTTCAGTTCTGATGTTTTGTTTCATTGCCTTCAGGGATTTTTTGGTTGATCTCATGGCAGCTCCTGGGACACTTATACCTGCTGATGTTTTCAGTGCAAAGGATACCGCTTTGAAGTCATATAATCCATCACTAAGCAAAATCCTGACTATTCAGTTTT